CAAGTAAATTCCATATCTAAAAATTCCACCATATCCACACTTGTAAAGAACACAAGTCATTCGATAATAATGACACAATTTCCAGTCTGGTATCTAATACTTCTTTTACTTCCCAGCAGCATAATACCACTTTGGTCAGGTTGAACCACTGCACAGGTTTGCAGCTCTTTCAGAAAAATAACAAAAACAACTGGAAAAACATGATGCACATGCAATGATGAGAAAATAGTACTATTGCCCAACTCGTCCCTGTAAATGCGAAATATCCTTGCTTCAGCTCCACACTGTGTATTTATGATAAGCCCTTACAGCAGGGATTTTGTTTCTTTCTGTTTTTGTAGCACCAAATACACATAGTGGCTATCAGTACATAATTCTGAAAGTCATTAAAATATTTATAGCATGACATACAGTTTCTGTATTTGTACCTTTATGTCTCTGGCCTGACATATTCATAATGATAGTAAACAGTAACATAGCATTGAATTCTAACTCTATTCTGCCACTGATGTGATTTGTCTGAGGAATAATACTTAACATGTTTTTTTTAATTACAATATATAGTGTACTTTCTTTTATAGTACATCATCCATTTTAGACAGTCTTGAATAATAATTTTTAATGATGTCCCCCATACTACAGAATGGCATGATGGTTAGGCACATAAACTGTTATGTGAGACTGCATGGGTTCATATCACACTTAAATCTGCTCGCAATGTGACTTTGAGCAAATCACATATCTCTGTGCTTTAGTTTTCCTACCAAAACCAGAAATTATTGATTGATGAAAGGATTAAATGAAAGCATTTAGATAGAATGCAGTAAGAGCTTACTGTTATGAATCAATGTTTATCTTAATACTGTGATAGTACTGTGGTGTGTGGTCAAAATGAGGAGCATTTTTGAATGGTATGTTTAGAAAAGCATTAACTTATGTAGGAAAACTTCACGATTACATGGGAGTGAGGCATTTTATTTCTTCTTTGAATCAGATGTGAAGGAGACAGTAATCCCTATTTCTGTGAGAGAGTATTCAAGGACACCTCACGGTAAGCTCCATGAAGCACCTATGCCTGCCTTGTTTCCATTTGTATTCCCCTAACTTTGTACTTAGTAGGTGTACAATACGTATTTGTTAAATGAATAAATCTATGCAAATACCTTAAAGATAAGCATTTCATTTTTAGCACAGAAAGCTTCTAAAAACCAAATATGAAAGGAGGAGTGATCTTCTGAAAGTAGGAGAAAATGAAGAGATGCCATATCAAATAACTTTGAAATCCTTAGAAGGATGTTACTGCTACATTTAAAGGGAATATTAATAGTTTTCTTGATGATCTGTTTGGGGAGATCTTGTCACATGGTGACATCAGTGAGTTTTACATGTTTTAAATAAAATGTGATCTTTTATAGAATGCAGAAATGGAATTCCATATTGGAATAAAAATTTTTAATTCCATGTTTGAATTGTCCTCATAAAAATGTATTGTGCTTTAATAAGAAACTACAAAGCGTGAGATTTACACATTTCAAAAGCTTTTCTGAATCTCTAAATATTATTTCCTAGATAAATGTCTTCAAACCTTTGGAATCTTAGAAGTTATTTGATTTCAAATGTATATATCTAAACAGTATTTGTCAAGATTCAATTTTAGTTGTTTACGTGAAGCTCAGAAATTAAATGCCAGTTCATAAAAGATGGTGAACTGTGCATAGGTAATTTCATTTATTTGTCAATTTCACCTAGTCATTCATCTATTCGTTCAACAAACACGGGGTGGCAACTTCGTGCCAGGTGTTAAACCAGATAGAAGAAAGGCTATAGTGGTCAACAGGGTAACCACAGCCCTTTTTCTCATGGAGTTTTGTCATGTTCGGAGGTACTAGATGAAATGGACTATCCGTGTTTTGGGAGATGTTGTAGTACATTTGCCTCCTTGAATCTCCAGAGTATTCATTGGTTTCTCCTTCACAAAGATGTCTAAATTTGGTCTTACTAACAGGTTGTGTCTGTAGGACAAATACAAACTAGCCAAAATATTATTATTCACACATCCACAAATATCTATAGATGTTTAAAACAATGTAGACAAAATATTCCAATGTTTGGGAGTTCTATAGGCACAGCTGAGTAAAATGAAATTTGATAACATCAGTTTGATTTGCTACTGTTGAAAACTGCATTTAGAAATTGGTGTAATCCGTTTCTAGCCAAGTTCTTTAGAGACAGTCTTGAATGCTTAAAAAGCCCCCCGAAAGCTAGATTTTGCATTTAGATCTTAGAATTGTCTTAAAAGATAGTGGAAGTTCACATTACGAGAGATTTCCCAATTGATTACATGATTGAGGAAGCACAAAAGTCTGTTATTCTTTCCAAAGTCAATTGTAATTTAAGCTCATTATCTCCCTGCAGATGTTCTGTTTCAAATGGCAACAGAATCAAAATGCAAATGCTCCAATAAGAAGGTGCGGGTTTCTTTTACTAGAGTGTGTTCTATGTATTTGCCTTAATACTACAGCATGAAATAGTTCAGAAAAATGAGTCCCACTGGCTGCCAATGTGGTGAGAAAACAAAATTCTTCAGGATAAAGGAATTCCTGGCTGAAGAGCCTATAATGGAATTTTCCCCCCTTAATATTGAGTTTGTTTCTAGTATAAACACTGCCAGTAAAAGATACTGGATATACCTTTATTTTGCTATGAATTGGGGCATACCAGTGACTTGAATATGAATTTAATAATAAAGAGTAATTGTTTTAACATAAACCCTGACCTCATCGAAGCTTGGAAAACCACAAGGGTCTAATTCTCTGTGATAGCTAACTCTGATGAAAACTTTTGGGGAAGGCTTAAAGCTCAACAGACTAGAAATTTTATTGATGAAGGCTGGCCATTGTGCTGGACATTTGTATGTATGGCCACTGTGACATGTAATCTTTCCTTAGATGCTGTAGTTGTGATAGATGCTCCTTCACTTCGATAAACAACTTGGAATACATTACAGCACTTGACAGTATGCAAGTGAGCCATAAAATAGCAAAGACTTCTAGAAAACACAAGTAGAAGGCATCTGTTCCTTTGATTCTTGTTTCAGTTAACACCATAACAATATTTGCATTAATGTGAAAATATATGGGTAACTTTAAATTTAACCAAATGCTTGCTGCTAAATAAAAAATCCTCACCTTCAGCCTCCCACTCATATGATGCATTGAAATGGTTAAAAGGGCCATTTTCTCAGTACAAGGGTGTAAAATCCCCTTTATGAGACTCTCATGGCCTGATTTAATAGCTTTAATAGTTCTTTGTTAAATGATAACTAAAATATATATGCTTTATTAATTTTCTCTTATAAAAAATGGAAACTATCTCTTTCAAACTGAGCAACATTCACATAATCTTCATTCATTCTCTTTCATCATGCTTCTCTCTTTGTAAACCTATTTGACAAACATTCCACATCCTCACACCCACATTTCTCTAGTAAAAAAAAAATGATATGTTTTGAAAGATGGGAATCTGAGCTCACAGAATGGCACTGTTTAAATTGGTGTACCTCTGGCTTTCTTCCTGTTTGGTCCTCTGGTGGGTAATCCATTATGGCAAACAGGTAGAACTTACTATAATGCTATCCCACAGGACACAAGAAAATGTGCTGACTAGTTCTAGTTGGTTTTTACCTTATTTTCAAGAAGATAGTTTCTAAGATGCACTTCAAAAACTTCTAGTTTAGGGGCCTGTTTAAAATGTCACCTTTTGGGGGAAATTTCTCCATTTGTGAAAAAGGATTTTCAAAGATGTGCCTCGGTTTTGTTTACCTATCTTGAATATCTCAGACAGGTCTTCATTCTTTTGTTAGGTACATTTTTGTGCTTCATCTAAGTGCCCAAATAATTATTGCTCCCAATTCATTCTGTAAATTGACTTGTTTGTCTGGATTTATCATAAGCCCAAAATTATAGTCTATGTAAGTGGCTGTAAATGACTACTTTCTGGTAAGTTATACTTTGTGGGAAATAATATTTTCATGTCTATTTCCTTACATAAATAGGTGGAATGAAGTTGGTACCTTTTTTCCTCCAAAGAAAACAATATTTGTTCATTTACAATATGGATAATCGCTAGCTCCAAAGCCTAATTTGAAGAATAAGAATTGTTTTGTCTTAGAGTGCCATGAATATCCAGTTTATATCTAGGGAAACTGTTCTAAATGTTGTGTGACATACATATTTGTATTTATACTCACACATGTTATAATTTGGTTTCATAAAACGCCCTAAAATATAATACATCAAATTAAGCACATCAGTGTAGGTAGAAAGAGATTAGATTTCTCCTTATTATGTTTCTCATTTATCAATCAAAAATATACACAACTTAACAAAAGAAATAATGAGAGTAGGGTTATATAAATCATATGTGAATCATCATTTCAATGAAGCTAGGTCCTTTGCTGATAGTTTCATACCAACTATATAATATATGGCAAAAGAAAGACCTATATTTGTGACAAACACATTTTGAGAATTTACACAGAGTGGAATAAATATATATTATATTCTGTTATAATTAATAATAATAGATACAATCAATACTTAAATAAAAAATACAGTACTAAAGTCCTCTACCATTGTGTCTAATAAACTAAAAGTTGGGTGCAAATTGCCCCACTCTATTAAGATGTAATAAAATCCAAGGAAACACCAAAATAAAAAGCCAGTTGCTTCCAGAACCAAAAGAGAGTATAAATGTAGTCTATCATTTGCCATTTTCAAGAGGGGATAGAGGTTGAATTTGTAATTAACTGGAATTTCAATTCAGGAAACTCAGCAACATGGACGTGGAGCGGGTCAGTCAGGGGGAGGGGCAATGTGCATTTCTTCTAAGTGATAATAACAACCTTGAACTGATGCAGTTTGAACTATAGCCTAATAAGAGTTTTGTTAATCTCTGGAAAAGCTATGGAGCAAAGATTCACTTAATCCTGGCCCTTGTGATTTATTCAAAAGTCACAGACTTTATTCTTCTTATACTGGTTCAGTCTGCCGACTGGGAAACCTCTCCCTTTACACACTGAGAATTTCCACTGTTGGGAGTAGAAGTCCTGGGTGTGTAAAGAGTGCATGAGCAACAGGGGTTCAGGCCCAGAGAACAAAGATGCTGAGTTGCCTTGGTAAAGAATTTATACACCACGTGTTCACAGCTTCTTGATAAGTATAATTAGCGGTGTTGTCTTTTCCTTTTACTATGTGCTGGGATTCTGAAGCACTGTTTCAAATTTGTGACTCTCAGATGTTTGATCAGATAATTTTCCTTCAAGGACCTGAAAAAGAGGGGGTGGGGGAGAGTAAAGAGAATTAGTCATTAATATTCATTTGTCAACTATAATATGCTAAAAATACAAGAGCATGTGTTATGTGAGAACAGCAAGGATTATTTTAGGCACTATCATTCAGACACGATCTTCCACATTAAAGAAAGTTTGATGTTTGCAAAGGAAATTATCCAATGAGAATGGAAAAGTCACAGTGACATCTGAAAATGAAATACAGAACATAAGCTTAGAAATTTGAAACATAAAACACTCTTTCATCTTCATTTCAGATGATGAAATATTTTTCTTTGGAAGGCAAATAATTGATAACCTATATACAAAGACCTTAGGATCTTTAGTGGTGCTTTTGCAGAGGTTGTTGTATACTGTAGAGTTGGAACCAACACGCAGCTGACCATCTGGAGGGTTTTCAGGTCAGTTAATCACAGCGAGGGAGAGTGCTCATCCTTCTCCCTTGGAGCAGCTGGTGGCCTCAAATTGCATGCCTTCTGGATTGCAGCACAGCTTCTTGCCACCAAGCCACCAGAGAGGTAACATGCCTGCAAAATCTCTTTCTGACGGGTTGTAGGCAGGAACATCTCCTCTCTGAAGCACATACTAGGCTTGTGTTTCCTCTCACAAAGGAGGGATGTCTGTCTGTGTTCCATTCAATGCTAATCTGAGTAGATAAATGTCCCCATAGGATCTGTCTTAGGAGAACAGCCTTCTCTAACACCTTTAAAAAAATTAACATGCTTGACTGCTAGCAAAGAGGCTAGAAGTTTGAATCAATGCAGAGTTGGCTAGGAAGAAAGGCCTAGTCTCTTTGTCTTCTGAAAAATCAGCCATTGTAAAACCTCATGGACCACACAGATCTGCTTTGACACACATAGGGTTGCCCGGAGTCAAAGTGGACTGATCAGCAATGTGTGTGTATGTGTGTGTGTTTTTATACTTTTATACAGTTATTTCATATCAGTTGACTGTGTTTCTTCTTGAATCACCTAACCCAAAGAAACATTTTCATTATATAGTATTACTATTGCTGCTGCTGCTGCTAGCTTACTAGCCAAAATTTACTCAGTGCTAACTGCCACACCTTCGTCTAAGGCTTTAACATAGCTTTTTGTTAATTAATGTCAGTACAGACCATTTTACCAAGACTTCAATTTAACAACTAACTTGAGGTCACTTAGTTATTAAGTGACAGAGCTCCAGAGATTAGATTGCTAATGAATGAATTAATCTTATAGCTTCATCTCCCCATGGAAAGCACAGATCATGACTGCTGAGAGAATAGGAACAGATGAACTTTGTTAAGAATCTTGAGTTTGTCTTTCCAGAGACACATAAACAGTGGGACAAAAGACTGAAATATATGGCAGCTGCCAAAACATGACTAACCGAAAGATCCAGGAAGAGTCCTTTTTATTAAATGTTCTTATGATTTCCCTCAATCCCTTGATTTATAATTGAACAAATTACAGATTTAAAAATAGATACAAAATTACTTTTTAAAAATAGATAAAAAATTATATTTTTAGTAACACTGTGTTTTTATTGATCAAATTACCTTGCTAACTTAGTTTAGCCATGACAATGAACTATAGGTAAATAACATTGTTTTGAAGGGGAGTTGAGTAACCCTCACTCAACGCAGGTGAGACTTAAAGAAGTAAGTGATCAAAACTGCATGCCCAGACAATTTAGGAGTGTGTATGGAGTAGGGTTATCTAAGTATGTATTCTACTGAACAAAGTAAAGTGTGGTAGAGTGGTTACAAGCATGACGTTTTGAAACGTGTCTTCCTAGGTTTGAATCTTGGTCTCAACACTTACATGCTCTAAAGGTAGTTGATTGCCTGTTGTTGACTGCCTTCGTGAACAAAAGGATTGAAAGCCCTCTACAATTAGTGATGTTTATCAAAGTTCATAGAGTTTCCAGAGGCATGTTTAAGAAGTGGACGTGACTCTTGCTTCCAAACCTGCCATATTATGGTAATAGAGATCCTTAAACTCCTGTATATCTCCATTTCCTACTTTAAAAATGAGATTTAAAATAGTATACAGCCTTCATGGGCTGACTACGAAGGCTAAGGAATATGTAGTATATCTTGTTTTGTAATGTAAGTCAGAACCAACACATAGCTGACCCTTGAGAGGATTTTCAGAAGCAGTAAATCACATGGAAGTAGATTGCTCATCTTTCTCTTTGGGTTGGCAGTGCAATTCCTTACCACTAAGCCACCATAGTGCCTACAGTACATCTACACTATAGTACACGATGCATTTAGAAATATTATTGCCCTATAGGAATTGCTGAGTAACTTCAAGCCAGTATTAAGTTTAAATACTGGTTCAGTTTCTTTTAAGTAATTGGTTTCCTTGGATTCACTTTGTCCGATCCATTGTGAGGGACTTGGTCCTTTCATTATCTGGGATGGTAATTCTAGTATGACTCCCTGGATCAGATCGTCATGACTATAGCTATGGCAGTTATGATAGAAGGTGCAGTCAGTACTGAATGAAAAGAAAGGACACAAAGAATTCAAGAGGAGGTTGTTGTGGTTATTATCTATCATCTAGCTGACTATGACTCACAGTGACCCTATGAATGACAAACCTGGATCTTTTCTTATCCTGTGCCATCCTTATCATCTCTGATATACTAGAGTCCATCATGGCAGTCAGTTCATCTTGTCAGGGTCTTCCTCACACCCTCCACCTTTACGTGCGTCATGTAGGAGTATCAGTGGAAGAAAACTGGTACAGCCACTGGTCAACTATGACTACTTTGTAAATCTGTTAGACTCTAGCATTAGTTTTGCATGTAATGAATTTTTCACTGTAGTGCTGCAGTAAGAAATCAGGGAAATGGAAATTGGCCTGGATTTCCTCAGAATACTGATTGCTTAAGAAGTATTTTGCTGGCACCTACCAACATCAGGTGAAACATGGTGTCTCTGAAATAACATTTTAAAACAGATGCTTAAAAATGAAATAAATGCATCATTCTTTCTAAAAACAATTTTTACATTTTTCTCTCTAGATTTCTTCCTAACACACGTTGTTTTTGTGTGTCCTGTTGAGTTGGAAAGAACCCATAATTGGCCCTCCAGCAGGTTTTCAGAGTCAGTAAATTTCATGAAAGCAGACTGCATATCTTTCTCCTGCAGAACAGCTGGTAGATTTGAACTGCATATCTTTGCGTTGGCAGCACAATTCCTTATCACTAAGTCACCAGACTTCCCTTTCTAACATAGAGCTGTATCATAATCATATCGTCTTGATTATTTATATTTGAGTTAACAAAGTTAGGAGAACAGTCAATATATTTTACTTCAGAATAGTTTAAAATAAAAAAAATTATGCATAAGAGGCTCTTTGTATACTACTTGCATTCAACATACGTTTAAATTTTATCTACCATTCCAATATGGCTAGCTACTTAATAATGTAGTAATATAATTCTTTAAAGTTAAAAGGTAGAAATTATGTTTCATCTGGTAAAAACAAGAAGACTAAATCTGACAAGCATTTGGCTTTACCTGGTTGTGTTTGACTGGTCAAACTTAAAAAAAAAAACCAACAAAATCTCAGAGATTTTTTCCAACCAAGTAAGTCAAAATAGCTTAAACTCTCTTTTCAAAAGTAAACTTAGTATGAGTTATCAAGTATAGCAAATCTGATTTAATCCATAAAAATGGAATAAATTAAAAGTTGCACAAGAGCTAATGTAGGTCCTCTTTGATGGAATTTACCATAAAAATCCATGTCTGACTTGAATTGGTTGTTTTGAGTTTCTACTTGAAATGGTCACTATTTCATCTCAAGAGACTATGATCACATGAATTACAAATACTACCATGGCAAGCATAAAGATAAGTCTCACGTTTAATTGCAAAGACGTGTACCAGGAAGAAAAAGTTCTTCCTCATGTGCCACATACTGACTGAATCATAACAACTCTGTGCTGAGTAAAACTACCCAATAACAAAAGGAAAAATATTATTTCACTAGAACAAGTAACTATATAGACATTTGAGTTGAACAGTGCTTGTCAAGGATGAGTGGGCTGGGTATAGGAGGAATTTGGCAATGGAAATTAGCGACTGTGCAATATTATTGATATAATTGGTTTGTTGTGCAAAATGTTATATTTTCAAATTTGCTCCTTATTTTGACAACAATTTAAAAAGGAAAATGTGCTAATCTTTGATGTGAGAAAATAGGAAACTATGAGATAATTTAGTGAAGATTGGTGGACTAGTGAAATGAAATTGAGTAGATGGCCCACCAAATATTTTGTGCCACTTTCTGTACCTCCAAGCACCAAAGATGATCAAGTATAATACTGACAGCTTATAATAAAACTTTAGCTGTTTCAGTGGCAATGTATTTCTTTTAAAGAATTTGTGGATAATCTTACTATGGGTCAGACCAGGTCTGTATTAATGGAGGTGAAAAAAAAAAATGAACTAGTTAGCAGAGAGAGATCAATGGCTTAATTAAAGAATAATAGATTGCTATTATTACCAAAAAAGACCTTTGAATGAATTGTGTAAGGCATATGGTCTTTAAATTTGTATTAATAACAGAAAGTTAAGTTATATACAAGATGATTTGTCCATGTTTATCTATATCACTCTATCTTAACTATATCATTCTATACCAAGGCACCATTACCTTTTGCCTAAATGACTGTACAATAACGTCATTAATTGGTCTCTGCTTCTACTTTTACTCTGGGATAATCCATTCTCTTCATATAAGCCAGAGTGATTTTTGAAAACAGAAATAAAACAATTTCATTCTCTTGCTTTAAAAACTTGCTGTCTACTCCAATAAAAAAAAATCTCTTTTTCAGTGCCTTACACTGCTTTTGTTGACTTAGTCTCAACTTATCTCATTGCCTCATAATATAACAGTGTTCTTCTCAGCCACTGATTCCTAACTACTTTGACATTCTCATTTTCATATATCAAATAGCTGGTGCATGAATTAAGGCTACTATTTCTTCCCAGAAAGCTTTTCCTATATAATTAGCCTGTGACTGCTGAGTGTAATGCTATATTGTTAATAGATTGGGGGAAATTATTTTTTTAGCTTTCTATTAATTTTAGCTTCTCTCTCATTTGAAGTTCTTCTGGATTAGTATTTTGTTTCCTCCTTCCTTCTTCTTTTACCCTTGCTCCCTTGAGCAGTTATTGATTAAATTTTAATTCTCTTTTAGGGCTTAAAGTTTTAGTTATTATGTTAATCTCCTCAAGGGTCTTATTCTCCTTTGATGACTCTCTGCGTTTCCAAGCAAGAAGTCCCATTCCAAAGTTTGGCCTTTCCTTATAACATGCTCAAAATATTATGTGAGACAGTTTCACCCTACTTGATTCTAAGATTCTGGGTACACTTTTTCAAAGATAAGTTAGTTTGTTCTTTTGGCAGTCCGTGGTATTTTTGATGCTCTTCATCAACACCACAATTATAAGTTATCACTTCCTCAGTGCTCCTTATTCACTGCCCAACTTTCACAATCATATGAATCAACTGAAAATTATCTGCCTCTATCTATCATAAGACTGCTTATTGGAAAGAAAGACCTTTAGTGATCTCGACTGATGCAACCACAGGCTTGAACATAGTGGAAATTGAAAAGATGGCATAAGATCACACAAAGTTTTGAGCTGTTGTTCACAGGGCCAGTATGATTCAATGACACCTAACAACAGCGATAACAACACAATCAAATTATTTTCTATATTAAAAAAAAACCCCAAACACAATAAATAATCTTTCTAATATTCTCTGCTCCTGGTCAAGATCCATCTGATAAGCAGAGATATCCCTCAGAGCATAGACACTCTAGGTTTTCTTATTGGGAGATTCCAATCAAAGTGTTTTCCAATAAATGTATGTCAATATTCTAGTGGAAATGTTGTTGTTGTTGTGTACCATAGAGTCAGAACAACCCACAGCTGACCCTCCAGTGGGTTTTCAAAGACAGTTAATTGCACAGGAGAAGATTTCCCATCCTTCTCCTGTGGAGCAGCTAGTGGTCTTGAACCATGTGTCTTTGGGATTACAGTGCAGATCCTTACCATTAGGCCATCAGAGCTCCCTATTAGGTAAGAAGTATTAGATGACCTAATTGCACAGTGGTTAAGCCTCTGGCAGGTCACACTCTATCAGACAATCTTTGGCAGTCAACTTCTTTAAAGGTTACACTGTTTGAAACAGCTCTACTGGGTCCTATAGGGTCCACATGAGTATAAATCAACTTTATGATAATAGTCTTGACTTTTTTGCTTTAGAAGGTCTGGGTGTCTAGGGTTTATCATTCAGATGTCTTTTCTAGCCAAAGATTAGCTTTTTATTTTGTGCTAAAGTAATTATTTTATTAAGAAGAGAGGACTAGGATGGGATGCAAGCCTTACCCTACTAATGGCTTATATAAGCTCATGGGAACTCAGTGCCAGGCACGTTTTTCTTTTGGAAAACCCTGCTCACATGAGACATAGCTTATAGATGCTTACCAGTCACTACATCACCAACCCGCATCACTCATAGTTACCATCCAACAGTGCTATAACTGACAGTCAACAGGATCATGGCCCATAGCTCACCAATTTCTTCAATACTAGCCGGTTACCTATGATCATGTAAGTCATTTCCCTAACATTTTTTTAGTCTCTTGGAGACTCTTCTAGTGAATCCTTGAACTCAAGAGACATAGAGGAGCTAGGAAGCTGAGAAAAGGAAGAGCTACTAATGTCAGAATCAAGGACTTTATAGGGTACTTGGGACTACATTGACCTGAGACTTCTTAGAAATAGTCTGCTATTAATCTTATTGTTGGGATATACCACAAAGTAAGAGCTGACACATAGTTGACCCTCTGGTGGGTTTTCAGAGGCAGTTAATTGCACAGGAGAGATTGTCCATGTTTCTCCAATGGAGCAGCTCGTGGCCTTGAACCATGTGCCTTCAGAATGGAAGCATAGCTTCTTGCCACCAGGTTATCTTAGTAGGACAAATAATAAAAAAACAGAGGGGATATACAGTAGTATGGTTATGCCATTTGAATGAAGTCCAAAGGCAACTGGCCAAGGACGTGGTCAGTCCTTCTCATTTTGCTATGTCTGAGTATCTGTTTGTATAGAAGCTAATTTTTGGTATTGCTGTTTTCAGTATAGTGTAGTCTATGCCTGCCTTAACAAAGTCTATTTCCTTCCAAAATATCTTATAATTTGGGGAAATATGGCTGAACAATATAAAATAAGCAATTATTTTGTATATACCTTTTGAGAAAATTGGTTTTGTGTGTTTATTGGTTTGATTTGGTTTGCTTTATTATATTTAAAGATATTTGTCTCAGCTGTCTAAGGAACAGCTTCCTTATACAATCAAGCATTTCTTACCTATGACATGTGATTCTGTTGTGTTTGTTGCTGCTGCTGTTGTTGTTGCTGCTGAATTAGCAATTGTTGCTGCTGCCGACGCCTGGCTGTTCGTAGTTTTTCAAAACGAGCTTCCATCTCTTCCAGGACTTTCGGAGTATACCGGACCACCAGCTTCACACTGTCCTTAGCAGCCTTGAGTAGTTCCACGGCCTTCTCATGATGTTCCCCTTCTACGCTCTGAAACACAGTCAACAACATGAACAGCAGGTTTTTAATGGAGAGAGCTTCAGGGTTCTTTCCCTTCTGAGACAAATCTGAGCATGGTATCAGGTGAAAATCCCAAATAATGACATGTCCATAAAGCATTATATGTGGAACTTGATGGTATAATATGTTTATACTTTTAAAAAGACTTTCTGCAAACATGGAAACCTGAAATTTTACTTCCAAGGATTATGTTTACCCACAACTATTGTCATTTTAAGTTCTTATCTCTTCCATTTCTATGATTTTTTAATAATAATAATAATAACAGGAGTCAATAGCACTGGGATAATCAGAGGGTCATCTGTCTTCCCCCGCCCCCCCACAGAAATGTATCCTTGAGGACCTTTTAGACTTAGAGAAAGCAACAACTCTAAGAGATTTCAAACCAATCATAGAAATGTGTCATCAATGTAATCAACTGACATGGACAGTCATCTTTTATTTTGTCATAAATCTCCAAGTATTTTAAAACAATATTAGCTTTATGAAAAACACTTAACAGTTTAGAAATCAAATATAGTTTAAAGCAAATTCCTCTCATACATGCAATTAATGTATATAGGGAAATTTATGAGTGGCTAATATATTAATATTGTAACTTATTATTTCTAATGAATCATTTCTAGATCTATATTGTGAGATAAGATCCAGATATAAGCATCTGAAATTTATCATAACACAAAAAATGAAGTGAACCCTACAGATTTTAGACAAATTAGTAATATTTCTACACTGCTAGATGAAGCTAAGCAAGTTATTTCAGATGACATTAACAAGATAAGTAAAAATGTGGCAAGAGAAATCTGAAACTTGTGGAGTGAGTAAGAGAATATTTAGGTTTGAGGATGGAGCTATGGTGGAATAAGACTCAACAAGTGTGCTGGAGCTATGTCATGCAATTTCTTAACTGAAGGTAAACAATATAGAAATTTATTTTTTGTCAAGAGAGCTATCATATATGTTCTTGCGTAGAAAAGAACGAAACAAAGTGATGGCCAGAGAGTTGTAATTGCTACTATTTGTTATATTTGTAGTTGAACTATAAAGCAGGCTATGTAGCAATATGGTTACAAAGTGATGTGAATGAAGGTATGTGCCTGATCCGGGATATAGTCTTCAAAATTGCATGCTATGCGTCAGTGAGTTGGGCAGTGACTAGGGATGATAGAAAGAGAATTGATGCCTTTGAGCTGTGGTGCTGGAAAAGAGTGTTCAATATACCATGGACTGCTAGGAGAACAAACAGGTTTGTACTGGAGAGGGTGAAATGATCAGGCTGATTCTTGGAGGCAAGGCTTCTGAAGCTTTGTCTGATACACTTTGGGCATGTTGCAAGGAGGGGCATCATGTTTGGAGCATGGAGGGACAGTATAAAAGAGGAAGATCATCGATGAGATGGACTGATTCAGTGATTAGGTAATGGTAGTGAGTGTGTCAGAGACAGTGAGGTTGGCACAGGATAGAGCAGGGTTTAGGGCTCTTGTACACAGGGTCACTATGAGTTGCAAGTGACTTCACAGAACATAACAACAACAACATGAGTAAGAAGAATGACTAACAATAAACTCATAAGTGACAATGCTCCTGTTCAGAGGAGAATTTCTCCTATTCTCATGAATGAATGAATAAATGTTGTAATCTTGAAAAAAAATTAAAAATAGTAATAAAGGGGATGTTCCTTACTTATATTCAAATTTGTGAAGAATCTGCAAAGATTAAAATAATGTCTTACTCACATAGGAAAAGATACTTGAATGTGCCCAAAGGTAGACTATAAAATACATCATGTGTAAAATGTGGGTAAGGTAGCATTTAGACCACATGAGTTAAAAATATTAAATATGTGATGATATTATAAATAACAGAAAATAATGTATGATTTAATCTCATGCTTTATGGTAGATTGAAAAGTTATGATTAAAAGGCACAAATAAAAACTCATAAGAATAAAAATTAATGATGATGATTAAGGATGAGGATTAATGATGATTAAGGATGATGAATAGGTGAATGTTCTTCATCTTGCAATGGAAAAGAAATTCTTAAGCTAGAATATCAAAATAAAACAAAGCTCAGAATTAGATTTACAACTTTTAAGTTTCCCAAGTGCCACAAATTAGAGGGAAAAAATAAAGTATAAAATAATTTTAGTATATGATAGACAATTTGCTTTTTTCAAATAAGACCTCTTACAAATCAATAAAATAATATATAGAGCAAGGTAAACAAATATGCTGTTGTTGTTGTTGTTAGGTGCCAATGAATTATAGACAACTCATAGCGACCCTGTGAACAAAAGGCCTGAGCACTGTTCATATATAGAGTTTCTGGAGGCAAGCCATTTCGGAAGTGGATGCCGCTCCTGCTTCCAGGCTTGTTTTAGTCGGGAAGCTCCAGGGAACACTGTCCACCATGGGTACCCATTACCACGTTTGGCACTTCACTGTCACAGTGTTCAGCATCACAGCAACCACGAGTTACCTCTGTACAGCAACGCACAGACCAGTGCTATACCACCTAGAAGAATGTTTGACAGGAAGACAATTTGAACCCAACCTGAGGGCTGCAGATTAAAATCATCTACCTTTGGCTGGTAGCAAAACTTTCTGTCCATTAGGCCAAGGTAGCTCTGTGTCATCGTTGTTATTGTTGTTAGGTGCCATTGCATAGTGACCCTACGAACAAAGGCCTGAGCACTGTTCATATATAGAGTTTCTGGAGGCAAGCCATTTCGGAAGTGGATGCCGCTCCTGCTTCCAGGCTTGTTTTAGTCGGGAAGCTCCAGGGAACACTGTCCACCATGGGTACCCATTACCACGTTTGGCACTTCAGTGTCACAGTGTTCAGCATCATAGCAACCACGAGTTACCTCTGTACAGCAATGCACAGACCAGTGCTATACCACCTAGAAGAATGTTTGACAGGAAAACAATTTGAAACCTGGCCCTCGGCCCCTTGGGGCTTTAAGCCCCCTCCTGCCTTAAATCCTAGGCCAAGCCTGGAGGGCCTCGCTTCTGGGAGGGCAGAGCAGTCCTGCACGTCAAACACAAGCCCAAAAAAGCACTCGACTCCAACAGTAAAATAATAGAACAAAAATAAAAATAACCAATAAATTTATCTGAAAAATTTAAGCTTCCTAGAAATTAAAGAAATTGAGAAACATAGAATAATCAGTTTTACCTTAAAAATGGAAAACACATATTTTAGACATGTGTATTGATGAGACTATAGAGAGATGGGACTTACATACTTCTATTAATTTAACAAAAACTCATAATTTTTCTGTAAAAATCATAGAAATAATAATAGTCTGTTATACTATTATTGTTGTTAAGTGCCATCGAGTTATCTGCAACTGATAATGACCCCATTTACAACAGTGCTAAACTCCATGCTATCTTGTGCCAATCTTACTGTTCCTGACACACCTACCCTCATTACCATAGTCACTTAATCAATCCATCTCACCGAGGATTTTTCTCTCCTGTGCTGTCCCTCCACCTTCCCAAGCGTGATGCCACTCTCCAAAGACTGGTCTCTCCTAGCAACAAGTCCACAGCATGTCAGAAGAAGATTCAGATTCCTTGTCTCTAAGGAGCATCCTGATCTCAACCTTTCTAGGACAAACCTCTTTGTTCTAGCAGTCCATGTTATATTCAAACCCTTGTCCAGTACCACAGTTCAAAGGCATCAATTCTCCTTCCACCATCCCTAGTCATTGTCTAGCTTTTTGACTTGTAGCAAGTAATTCGCAAGACCATGACTTGAATCAGGCAAAACTTAGTTTCCAGACTGACATCCTTGCACTTCAGTATTTTGGAGAGGTCTCTGACAGTGGATTTTCTCAATGCCATTTGTCTTTTAATTTCCTGGCTGCTGATATCAAGAGTGTTGATTGTGAAGCCAAGTAAACTAAAGCTTTTAACAATCTCAACCTTTTCACCATCTATCATGGTGCTGCCAATAATCCCAGTAGTGAAAATCTTTGTTTTCTTGATGTTGAGCTTTAATTCCTATTGAAGGCTGCAGTCCTTGACCTTCTGCAGCAAGGGTTTCAGGTCCTCCTCAGTTTCAGCAAGTAGGGTGTGTCATCTGTGTAACACAGATTGTTGATGAGTCTTGCTCTATCCCTGATGCTACATTTCTTCTCATAGAGGCCAGCTTGTCAGATCCAAAATGAATGGAAAAACACATCAACAGAGAACTGCCAGATGTGTAGGCCGCGTTTAGAAGGGGCCATTGCACTAGGGATATTATAGCTAAGGTTAGATAGATCTTGACTGAAAGTAGGGAGTACCAGAGGAATTTCTATCTGTGTTTCATTGATTACGCAAAGGTAATTGTGTAGATCACAACAAACTGCAGCTACCTCTGAGAAGGGAATCCCAGAACACTTGATTGTGTTTGGGAAGCCAATACTAAATATTTGTAATAAACTGAATGCTATTTCAGGATGTGGGGGAGGCATGTTTCAAACTAGAGTTCACCCTGAGGCACTAAGGCAATCCTTAAGGGTTTACCAGATTCTTGCATTTGCTAACCCCTCCCTCCTGAGTCAAGCAGTAGGTTTTCAATAGAAAGAGCTTGGCTTCATTTGCGTTGAATTCTCTTTGTGATTTACTTCCTGATAATCTCTAGTAAAGATACAGGGAAGCTTGAATGGGAGTCTTCAGTAGAGAACTGCTGGCCCCTGTTTTTCATGCTCTCTCTTCTATCTCATTCCTGGCTGTCTGTCTCATTATTAATAATTGTAAAAATATTTTACCCTCAGTTTGCAACAATTGTGCTTATGTGAAATGTATACTTGGACCAGGAGGTAGTTGTCAGAACAGAGCAAGGAAACACTGCATGGTTTAAAATTGGGAAGGGTGTACACCAGGGATGTGTCCTATCTCCATACCTTTTCAATCTATATACTATTATTCTATTATAATAATATGTATTATTATGCTATGCATCCAAGGAAGACC